GTGTCGTCTCTCATATTGTGTTCTTTTGAGTTCCTGGTGTTTTATGTCCATGTGTAGTCTGTAAATTTTTAAGTTATGAATTCATCTAGCTGAAAGTTGGGAGGAAGGGTTGTGAGCGTGGCCTGGCTGCAGGCTGTTGACAATATCTAAGGCTGTGAAAGCTTCTCCCGAGACTCTCTCAGGCTTGCTTCTGCCTGTTTCTAGGGGTTTCAGTGGTTCTGGACCAGTTCTTAGGTTAATTTCTGGGCTTTTTGTTTCCTTACCATGCGAGTAGGTGGTATAATTTTGGATCTCAATCTACGTACTTTACTGACTTATGCTTTCGAAGTTTTGAGAGTGAGTTTCCTGCCTCCCAACCTTGGTATGATAGATAGCAAACCTCTTTATTGCTTCTCTAGGATTCTTCTGGCCTCTGATCAAGGAGCACTTGGCTCTGGGGTTTTCTGCAGGGGACTGGGTTTCTACCTGCCCGTAAGGTGGAGGTCCTATCCCATGCCCCCAGTCTTGTTCGCATGTGTTTATTACAAGAAACGGACCTTGTTCCCCATAGGCCTCAGCTTCCTTACATCTATTTCTTTGACTTACCTTTTGTATGGAACCTGGGATTTCACAATCTTTCTAATTCAGCTGTGTGTCAAAACCTTTTTATTGTCATATTTTACTGCATTTTTAGGTGCTTGTAGTGAGAAGGGGTACTGACAACATCAGTTCAGTCCACCTTGTTGTTGAACGTCCCCCTCAGAGATTTTAAACTCGTGTTTATCATGGCACAGTGCGTCGACCTCTGCCTGCTTCCCTCTAAGGCAAGGCTGTCCTGTGCTGGGATCTTGGAAGTTCAGCTAGAGCAGTCGTTCAGATGTTTGGGAGACTGCATTTGAAAGAAGTCTACAAGGAGATAGATCTAATTCTAGAAAACTTTTATGCTAGCTGAAAATTAAGTTCTCCACCCTGTTAGAGACCATTTGATGAAAATAGATTTTGTTTGTTAAACTTTTTTTTTAAAAATATCAGATCTGCAGAAAAATTGTAAGAATATTACAGTGAACTCTTATATAGTCTTCACCTAGATTCACACATTATTCACTCTTTGCCACATTGCTTTCCTTCTCTTCTATATATATCATACACTGTGTAATATAATAATACATGATTTCTTACCTTTTTCCTTTTTTTTTTTTCTGGACCCGTGAGAAAAGTTACTTGTATCTCTTAAGAACAAGACCATTGACCGAAGGATAACTGTATCAAATTCAGGAAATTTAACATTGGTGCACTACTGTTACCTAGTTTACAGTCAGCGTTCAAATGTTGCCAGTTGTTTCAATACTGTCCTTTATAGCAACTTTTTTTTTTTTTTTTAAGTCCAGGATCAAGCATTGCATTTAGTTGTCATACCTCTTTAATTGCCTTTATTCTAAAAGAGTTCTTCAGCCATTTTTTTGTCTTTCATACGGTTGATGTTTTTGTAGAGTACAAGCCCATTATTTTGTAAAATGTCCTTTCTTTCAATTTAAGCTCATCTGATTGCTTCCTCATGGTTATATTTGAGTTATACAGTTTTAGCAGGAAAGCTATGTTAAGTAATATGTCCTTCTCACTACATCACATCTACAGGGATCAATTTTTCAATTGTTGGTACGTTTCTTTGATAACTTTGTTAAGATTGTGTCCACTGGACTTCTCTTTGTAATTATAAGTAATCTAAATACCCCGTTTGCCAACAAACTTTCACCCAGTGGTTTTATTATCCACCTGCGATTCACTTGAATAATTTATTCCTAGATTGGTTGCAAAATGGTGATTTTTAAAATTCTGTTATTCCTTATACATTTGCTAATTGGTAATCTACTGTGAAGAAGTACTTAACCTTCGTCCTCCCATTTATCGTACAGCTGCCTTTGAAACCACTGTTGGGGAAAATGTGAAAATCCTGGATATAGAAAAAATGTCTAAGGCAAGAAAAGATTGTCTTTGCTCTTCCACTGTTAGCTGGAGAAACAAATGTAAAATTATCAGTTTTACTTTCAGTGCTCCCCAGACCTCCATATTGCATGATAAACATGAGCTTAAAAGCACTTGTGGGTACGAAGTCTTATTTAAAATTCTTATTGATCTTGAAAATAACGTTTGTGCTGAGCATTTGTCAGCAAGTTTTATTTTTAATTCAGGCAAAATATCCTATCATCTCTAGTAGTTTTGAAGTTACTATTTTATAGAGTTTGTGTGAATAGAAAAAGGCAGTACTCAAATATGAAGGCAATATTATTAATATGCCAGGAGCTATTACTCAGAACAACTGAATTTGGTTAATAATGTTCATCCTTAAAATAAAGCAAGGGGGCCAGCCTGGTGGTGAAGCAGTTCAGTTCACACACTCTGCTTTGGCGGCTCGGCGTTGGCCGTTTTAGATCCCAGGTGTGGACCTATGCACCACTTATCAAGCCATGCTGTGGCAGGGGTCCCACATATAAAATAGAGGAAGATGGGCACAGGCTTAGCTCAGAGCCAATCTTCCTCAGCAAAAAGAGGAGGACTGGCAGTGGATGTTAGCTCAGGGCTAATCTTCCTCAAATAAATAAATAAATAAATAAAGCAAGGAAATGTTAACTGTTCAATATAAGATTAGTTTCATGTATAAATTTGCTTTTCAAAAACCTAAGGTTATCGAGAGAATTAGAAGACAAGCTGTAGACTGGAAGAAAATATTTGCAGAAGACGTTTGATGAAAGACTGTTATCCAAAAATATATAAAGAACTCTTAAAACTCAACAATAAGGTGGGGCTGGCCCCGTGGCTGAGTGGTTAAGTTCGCGCGCTCCGCTTCAGGCGGCCCAGTGTTTCGTTGGTTCGAATCCTGGGCGCGGACATGGCACTGCTCATCAGGCCACACTGAGGCAGCGTCCCACATGCCACAACTAGAAGGCTCCACAACGAAGAATATACAACTATGTACCGGGGGGCTTTGGGGAGAAAAAGGAAAAATAAAATCTTTAAAAAAAAAAAAACTCGACAATAAGAAAGCAAACAACTCCATTAAAAAGTGGACCAAAGACATTAACAGACACCTCATCAAAGATATAGAGATAGCAAAGAAACATATGAAAAGACAGCGTCATATGTCATCAGTGTAATGCAAATTAAAATAGTAAGATACCTCTACACACCTATTAGCATGGCCAGAATAGCAAGACACAGACAACCAAATGCTCGCAAGGAAGTGGAGCAACAGGAACTCTCATTCATTGCTGGTGGGAATGCAAAATGGTGTAGCCACTTTGGAAAACAGTTTGATGGTTTCTTACAAAACTAAACATTCTCTCACCGTAGGATCCAGCAGTTGAGCTCCTTGGTATTTACCCAGAGGAGTTGAAAACTTGTTCCTAGCAGGAGAGCGGAGGTTTCTCTGGAGAAATTCAGTGTCCTCAGAGGGAAAAACCTCTATATACTGACACTTGAGGTTTCTTTCAAAGATTTTATTTTTTCTATTTCTCCCCAAAGTCCCCTGGTACACAGTTGTATATTTTAGTTTTGGGTGCTTCTAGTTGTGGCATGTGGGATGCCGCCTCAGCGTGGCTTGATGAGCGGTGCCATGTCTGCACCCAGGATCCGAACCGGTGAAACCCTGGGCCGCTGAAGTGGAGCATGCGAACTTTACCACTCAGCCACGGGGCCGGCCCTTTGAGGTTTCCTTCAAACGAGCAAAGGTGGCGGGGGTGGGCAGCTTGTTCCTGACGACCCTCTGTAAGGCCCACAGTTGACCAGCCTCACTCGTATACCCTGAGTTTCTGCCTTTTTGGTGCCTCATGCTCCAGTGTGAGTGAGGCAGCCAAGGATCGCCAGTCACTTGAGGAAAGCCTCCAATATGGTTGCCAGTGTTTTTCAAGCCAAGTGAAGAAGGGGGCTGCAGAGGTGGGAGTGGGAGTGTCTCACATAGACTTTGATAACCGAAGTCCAGCACGTCTTTGATTCAGTGTTTCCCAAGTGTTAATGTCCAGTCTTCCAACATCAGGGAGGAAGGGCAGTTGTGGCCTGACTTGGGTCATGGAGGGGGTGTAGGGCTCAGAGTGGGGTCTGACTGCTTCTTTTGTGGACTTTCAAGTAATCCTCCTGTTTTTGGCCTAATCTGCCACCCTACTTTAGGAGACATCTGGTGCCTCCAATTCCTTAGCCTTTCTTAGATTCTTTGGTTCAGATGAGCTTGCTTTGCTCAGGATTCCCCCACTGCTGGCTTGGAGACCAGCTCTGCTCTGCTCAGTCAGCTATGTATTCCTTCAAATTCCTTTCCATCTTCCAGAACTTTGATACTGTTGTCTCCATGCCTGTTTTTGTCTATGTGTGTGCTCGCACACGTGCGCGATTTTTAAACTCCCTCCCCTTTTTTGTCCTTTTAATGATGTTTTAGGAGCGAGCAGAGATAAACGTAAACATTGAAACCTTTATGCTTAAGTCTTTTTTCCCCAGTATTTTATTGGCATCTTTCATTTGTTATTTCCTCTTCTGGGTTTATTTATAATTTTTATATTTCTGTGCTTTTAATTGGGGATTGGGAAGATAGGATAAATGTTTTTTATCTGCCTATTTAAGCAGAACTCATATATTTTTCCATTTAAAATTAGCATTTCAATATGAACATAAGTAAAAGGTCTAGAGAACCTGCCTGTCCAGTTAAGCGTACTTTTCCCTTAGTTGATTACATCATTTGCACTGAGCTTTGTTGTAGCATCTCCCGTCTAGTATTTGGATGTTAGTGATTATCTACATCCATTACATAACAACGGGAGAATTTCTTTAATATGGCTTTTTGTCGTTGTTGTTGTGTTAAAATACAAATAATATAAAATTTCCTATCTTACCCATTTTTAAGTGTACAGTTTAGTGGTATTAAATACCTTCACATTGTTGTGCAACCATCACCACCGTGTGTCCCCACAACTCTTTTCATTTTGTAAAACTGAAACTGTGTGTATTAAATTATAACTCCCCATTCTCTCCTCCCCCAGCGCCTGGCAGCCGCCATTCTACTTTCTGTCTCTATGATCTTGACTACTGTAAGTACTCATATAAGTGGATCACACAGTGTTTGTCTTTTTGTGACTCGCTTATTTCACTCAGCGTCATGTCCTCAAGGTTCATCCACGTGTCAGAGTTTCCCTCATTTTTGTGGCTAATATTCCATTGTGTGCATATACCACATTTTACTTATCCATTATATTTTCAGATAATTGTTTAAAACATTTTAGTAGGGTACAAAGCTGTACGTGTTCTAAACACTTTAGGAACCTCAAAAGGTTATCTGTTGTTGTGAATTTCTGTTAATGAAAATGATGTGCAGAGAATGTTGCTAAATTCAAATTGCTGTTCAAGGTCCAGTAAATAGTTTTTGTTATTTGTTAAAAGTCTTAAGTCTTGAAGAAAGACCTTAATTAAATGGGGTTATTTTTCAGACAAGAAAAACTACAAATGGCGAGTCTGGGGAAAATAGGTGTTGATGAAGCTTGAAGAGACAGAAATATTTGTGGGAGTGTTATGATGTATAAGTATATTTTTGACCTAATTAAGTCATTTTAGAAAAGGTGACACTTGATAAATTTAATCAAATATACGTGAGTGGGAACCACACAGATTTTTTTGTAAATATCTGAAATTATACATAGTAATTAGGTTATGTCCCTAGGGCAAAAAATGTAATAAGGAAGGTAGTAAGTAGCTCTGATGAATTTACATACTCAGCATCTTAGCAGGAAGGGGACAAGAAATGTGAAAGCTTGCAGAAGAGGTTGCAACATAATTGAGCGACTAGAATGCTGAGAGGGAAGATGACGTTGGCTTGCACTAAGTGGTAACCTAAAAGCCCTACTTTGGCTTAGCGCTCCAGCAGCCATGTACTTACTGCCTTAAAACCTGTGTCCCGTCAGGGGGTCTCCACCCTTAACGTAGACGGTCATTTTGGCAATTATAACCTGTTGGTGACAATAACTAACATGAGCAGTGGTCTGCAAAGTCCAAAGGGAAGAAAGTCGTATACGTACATTGTCAGGTGAGAATGCTGTCTAGACTCTTGGTAGCAGAATTCCAACTTGCTTGCCCCTCAGATAGAGAAGGATCTATGAAGCTCACAGTGGGATGATACCAGTTAACCATCTTATATGGTTTTAGTTTCCCAAAATGGTCTCCTTTTAGGAAGGGCAAGCTGTTGTTCACTTTGCTTCTCTATCTACTTGGCAGTTGTATTTCTCAATTAATGAATTGGATTTATGGTATGCAAACTGTTTCTTGTAACTGAAGTTGTCACCAAAACCTTTACTGAACTAATAAAGTTAGTTTTGTGAGCATATACATCCAAGGACTAGACCCTGGTCCAGGATCACCGTTTATTTTCTAGTTTCAGTGACCAAGGTTCTTACTGAAAGTGCCAGCCGGCCTTTGATTACCCTTTTAAAATCATTTACCTATTTTCCCTGCTGACTTTGCATGGAGGATCCTGAAGATCAGACTGAGGAGTTTGCCAGAAGTTCTGGAGCATAGGAGCAATATGATGGCATAATGCTTTACTGAGACTAGTCTTTCAGTGGTTTTCCTGAGGTTTACAGTATAATCTTCTAAGAAGGTGTTGGGGAGGAAAACTTTTCCTGTGCCCTGTTAGGTTCAGTGTCTGGAGGCCTGCAAATTAAACTGACGAAAGACAGGTTAGCAAGAGAAAAAGCAGTTTATTAACACCTGCAAAGTATATGCCACAGGAGTGCTCAGAGATTAAGAACTCAAAAGAGGTGGTTAAAATTTGGGACTTACATGCTTAACGGTAGGAGAAAAGAGTGGGGAGAAAAGGCTTTTATGGGAAGAACAAATAAATTTCTTTAGGAAAGACAAATGGATCTTAGGAGAACAAATGGAAGATAAAGTTTGTGATAATATTTCTTTATGTAGCTGCAAATGGCTTTTTCATCTTTGTGACCATCAAACTCCCCCAGAGAGGGGATTTATTGTAGGTATGCTCTTGGTCTCTCTCCTGGGAATGGAAGCCGACCTGAATTGGGAATTTATGGCAGTTCTCATTTCTCAGAAGTTTCTGCTTTTAGTCAGATAAGGGAAGCTCCAAGAAGGTTTCTTTCTACATCTGTTGAATCTCAGATGTCTTTATCTTAAAATAATCTTTATGCCAAAATGGCATATGTTGTGATGGCATACCATGATCACTTTCAAAGGTGAAGTAACCAACCAAGTGAGGCTATTTCAGATAAGAAATGAGACCTGGATTAAGGTGGTATCTATGAAAATGATAATGCAGCAAATATAAAGGATTTTGGATAAGCAGGAGTTTGAAGGATGTAGTAACTGTCTACTATAGTAAAGGGCAGAAACAAGGAAAGAATTCAATTGTAGATCTCTTTTTTAGTGTTTGTACCAAATTTCTCTTTATATTGCTTGGAATACTCAGAGAAGGAATTTTGCAAAGAGCAAAGCACAGGGTAAACCTTACATTACGTTTATATTGTAAAGGATAAATTAACTGCTTGACAGACTAACCCTAAGGGAACAGTAAGCTCTCATGCCTGAGAGAGAACTTGTTCCCCAGTGGAGACCTCACCCTTTTTGGCTCAGTAACTAACTCTAGTTACGTAATCCTTTTAGTGCTTCCAGCGGTACAAAAGTCACAGGAGTCGTTGTGCCATGATGTTTGCATTGGTAGATGCTCTGGCCGCTGTGAAACAAGGGCGCACTGTTCTTATCTCAGATCTGGTGCCCTGCTGCTTCAGGACCTTGAGTTGTTTAACCCTTTGAAGGGCTCTTTATTTTTACTTTAACATTTTTAAGTGTTCTTTTTAACCAAATTAGGAATGTCTGAAGGTTGGTATGCGTTTTAAATGTTGTCAAATATGTAAACGATAGGCCCCAAAAGGTAAGTCCTTTATAATTTGGATCCCTTTAGGTTTTAACCTGTTCTTGATCACAGCGGACTCTCCTGTGGCATCCTATTCCGGTAATTATTTCTTCTCAGAGGTGTTTTATTTCTCCTTCATTGGTTTCATCCCCTCCCTATAAATTAGCTCAGATATCCCTATCCTCCGGGAAAATCCTTTTAACAGAACAGCTTGAACTCTTCCTGTCTTACTTTCTCAGAAGTAGCTGAATCCATTCCTCACGCTAAGAAACCATCCTCTCAAAGGTTATTGGCGACGTACTGCCAAGTCTGGTGGCTCTTCTCTCACCTCTTGAGAATGAAAGAAACCAGCGTATGTCACCCCAAAATATGCCTCTTTGACATAAAAATTATTTTGAGCCGAAAGCAATTTAGAAGGAGCAAACGCAGAAGAACCTCTCTCTACCCTCCCTTTTTCTGCCTTGAGGCAGGATATAAAATCTCTTTTTACTGGAGACAGACTTATCAGCCCAGAGAAGGCACCAGAGGAATCTGCAAACAGGCCTTACTCCATTGGTTTCCTCCGGTGGATTTTCCTCCCCACAGTTTGCTGCCCTTGGATGCCTACAGCTGCTTTCCATTGTCTCATTTCTGTACAAATATATTGTTTTGGGGCCAGCCCCGTGGTGCAGCGGTTAAGTTCGCACATTCCGCTTCTCGGCGGCCTGGGGTTCGCCAGTTCGGATCCCGGGTGCAGACATGGCACTGCTTGGCAAGCCATGCTGTGGCGGGTGTCCCACATGTAAAGTAGAGGAAGATGGGCACAGATGTTAGCCCAGGGCCAGTCTTCCTCAGCAAAAAGAGGAGCATTGGCGGCAGATGTTAGCTCAGGGCTAATCTTCCTCGGAAAAAACCCCAAATGTATTGTTTTTGTTGAGGAAGCAGCCCATGAAAGCCACAGTTCTAAGCCACCACTTTGAGTTATTTTTTGTTGAGCTTTTGCTCGCCTGTGTGATGTGCACTGCACACGTTAGTTCACTGTTTTTCTCTTTTTCATCTGTCTTTTTGTTAAAGAGGCCCAGCTGAAAACCTAAGACGAGGAGAAGTAAGGTTTTGCCTCCTCCACAAGAACTTTCTATTGTTTGACCATCTTTTCAATTTTGAAACTTCTTTTCACCTTGATTTCAAATGAAAATTGCTCAGAAATCATTTTGCCTACTTCTCTGATTAGTTATTGTATTTTTCCTTAGGGATTTTTTATTTAGATATTTTATATATTTTTTTAAGAAAAAAATTTCATAAAGATTTATTTATATCTTTTATTTAGATATTTTCCCAGGGTTTTTGTTATTTTCTTTTTTCTATTACCTCCCTTGGTGATTTCATTTACTGCCATATTTTAACTATCCCTTCTTTTTTGAGATCATCCACTTCTATCTCCAATTTTTACTTCAATCTTGACCTTTTCTAATAGTTCCAAACTTGGCATTTTCAGACAGATCTTCTGGTATCTCTGACTCAACCTATTAAGTAAACTGATTGGCTAAAAAATAATGAACCTCAATCCTGAACTTATACCACATATAAAAATTAATTTGTGATGGGTCGTGAATCTAAACATAAAAGGTAAACACCAATGTTTCTAGGAAAAAATGTAACAGTATTTTCATGACTTTGAGACCAGCAAAAAAAAAATTTAACAGAACACAAAGAAGTGCTAACCACAAAGAAAAGGTTGATAAATTGGACTTAGTAAAATTCAGAACCTCTGGTCATCAAAAGACTCTGTAAAAGGATACTACTCAGCAATAAAAAGAAGTGAACTATTGACATAGAACACAACGTGAATCTCAGAATAACTGTGCTGTGTGAAAGAAGCCAGAGTACATCCTGTATGTGTGATTTAATTTATATAAACTGCTAGAAAATGCAGATAGGGATCCATAGTGATGGAAATCCTGTCGGAGGTTGCTTAGGGATGGGGATTGAGGAGGAACTGGAGGGAGATTACAGAGGACCGTGCGGAAGCTTTTGGAGAGTAATGAGTGTGTTCACTGTCTTGTGGTGATAGTTTTACAGTTATAAACATACGTCAAAGCTTATCAAATTTTACACGTCCAATATATTGTTCATTGTCAGCTAAACTTCGGTAAGGCTGTTTTTAATGTGGAAATAAACGAAGACTGCCCAAATGAGAACAGGTGAAGACCATTTATTCGGAGCTTGTCATAGCAGGGGAGTCAGCCGCTGTCCCTTGCGTTTGGCAGAGACTCAAAGGCAGGAAGACCAGTGGGAAGCTTTATAGTGGAAAAAGGGAAGGCTTCAGGTGTGTCCTGCTGAAGGCTGTTGGTGTGGGGAAGCTGTAGGCAGCCTCACTGCAAGTCAGGCATCCTTTGTGATTGGTTAGGGGCACATGTTTGCCTTCTCTGGCGGGTCCTAAGTTGGAAGCAGGGACGAAAATTAGGGAAGCTGTCAATTATTAATCAAGTCCTGGCTGTTTGGGGCCAATTTTTGTAGAGGTTATTGTTTGGCTTCCTGGACTAGTTGCTAGAGATAGTCCGACTTCCTTGACTGGTTACGTTAGATAGTAGGTTGGCTTCTTGGGCTCGTTAGTGGAGATATAAGGTTGGCTTCCTGGGCTTGTTTCTCCAAGTTGTGGGTCAGAGCTCTATTTTTATACGTGTAGTCTGACCAGCATCTGTTAGTGTATTCAGACTCTCATGAAAAGAAACAGATTCCATAAGAAAAGCAAGCCACAGACTGGGAGAAGATACTCACAGTACATATCCAACAAAGTGCTTATGTCCATTATACATCTTTTAAAAAGTCCTACAGTTCAGTAAGCCAAGGCAACCTAATTTTTTAAATGGGCAAAAGGCTTGAACTAGCACTTCACAAAAGAGGATATCCAAATGGCTAATAAACATATGAAAGGTGCTAGTAGGGGAAATCCAGTGTCATTTGATCACTAATTTAATCATTAATCATTTAATGCAGATTAAATGAGATGCTACCACACTCCTTACCAGGATGGCTGAAGGTACAGAATTAGCCGTACCAAGTGGTGGTATAGATGCGGAGCAACTGGAACTCCCATACACTGCTAGTGGGGGTGAAAATTGGTTCGGATTCGGGAAAACTGTTTGGCAGTGTCTGTTATAGCTAAACATGTGTGTGCTCGGTGACCCAACATGAACGCCCCTGGCTTTACATCTGACGGCACTGAGTGTTGGTGTCCCCCAAAAGAATCATACAAGACTATAATAGCTAAAACAGGAAACAACCCAAATGTTTATCAACAGTGGAACTTATAAATAGATTGTGATGTATTCATAAAATGGCATGTTATGCACAACCAGAAGGACCTACAACTGGAATATACAACTATGTTCTGGGGGCTTTGGGGAGAAGAAGAAGAAAAAAGAAAGATTGGCAACACATGTTAGCTCAGGTGCCAATCTTTTAAAAAAAATGGAGTGTTACATAGCAATGAAAAAGATTAAACTGTTACATGCAACATTATAAATGAATCTTACAGACATAGTGTTGTTGTTGAATAAAGGAAGCTACACTCAAAAGAGTTAATACTGTTTGATTCCACTTATAAAAAATTCAGACAAAATTTATCTGTGGTGATAGAGATCAGAATAATGGTTACCTTTTGGTGAGTTTCTTGACTGAAGGGACACAAAGGAGCCTTCTAGATTATTGGAAGTGCTCTATAACTTGATCTGGATTGTAGTTATATGGGTTAATAAACATAAAAATATTTTTTGAGCTGTATACTCAAGATTTGTGCATTTTACTGTATGTAAGTTATACCTCAATAAAGAACAGTGGGTTTGGTTTTTTTTTAAACTTTTACAGTCATGCACCATATAACGATGTTTCGGTCAGCAGTGGACCGCAGGTACAATGGTGTTCCCATAAGATTAGTACCGTATAGCCGAGGTATGTAGTGGGCTGTACCACCTAGGTTGTGTAAGTACACTCTGATGTTTACATGATGACAAAATCGCCTAATGACACATTTCTCAGAACATCCCTGTTGTTAAGCGATTCATCACTGTGCTAGAGTTTTAGCCTTGACCCCAGGCCTGAATTATTGCCAAGGACCTAATTGGTTTCCCTACTTTTCATACTCAGAATTATTCTACAATATGCCAGCTAAGCTATCCTTCAAAAGCACCGTTTGGATGATACTAGAGTCTGACTGTGTGACTTCCTCTCCTCAAAAGCCTTGAGGGGGCTCCCGTTTCTGCAGTACTAGATGCAGATAAGGCTCTGGCATTGCATTCAAGACTCTCCTAGTCTGGCCCCAGCAGCCATGCTCCTCCCCCATCCATACACAGTGCTTTGGAAAACCGGAATACTTAAAAATTCCAAACCATTTTGTTCTCTATTGCTTATATTTCTTTGTTCATACTCTTCTTTAAGTGCTTTCTTCCTCATGCCAGCCTTGAGGGGCTTGTTACAATGTGCTTCATGAAATCCAGGAATCCTCTGAAATTATATCCAAACGTTTCTATGTATGTGCATTTTTCTGGAGAAAGGGCTTGTCTTGACATCGGATTCTCAAAAGGGATCCGTAAACCCCCAAAAGTTAAATTGATTTAGTGGCCTTTTGAAGGAATGTGAATTAACTCATTTTATGTTTTAACAAAGTTTTTGTCTCATTAAAACATAGTCTTCAACACGCTGGGTCATAAAACATTTTTTTAATAAAGTTATATTTGAAACGTAAAGTTTCAGATTCAGTCAAAATGGCTTGTCCTCATCCATTTTTTAGGCCCCTAGATTTAGGTTTTTGTGTGGAATTTTTTTTCCTCAAAAGATAGTATCTTAATATTTTTCACTTTGGTATCTTTAGTTAGGGGAAAAAATTTTTTCCCCTCCTACATGACTGTTCATACGGCTAGTAGACAATACCATCTCTGTATGCTTTGATGTAGCAATCTCTTCTAAAAGATATTAGTCACATTTTTCAATGATTTTTTTGTTTGTTTTAGATACCTGTAGGCAATGGAAACTGATCTCAATTCCCAGGACAGAAAGGACCTGGACAAGTTCATTAAATTTTTTGCCCTCAAGGTAACATATGCATTCTCTTGAGCCTAGAACTGTTAGAAATAACTTCCGTGCGTCTCCATTTTTAGAAATACAGCATAACAGCTTGCAGCTTGCCCATTTTAAGGGATACTTCTGTCTGTTGTAAACCAAACTGTGAGGTTTGGGGGCGGTACTGGGGGTGTAACTAAAAAGTAGCTTCCAATTTTCCACAGCTACTTGTTCAAAAAAATTTTTTTTTGCAAGGCTGTTTCCAGAAATGTCAAACTGTTATGCCAGGTTATTGGCACAGTTTGTTCCCTTGGGGTGGGAACAAAGACAGTGGATGGAATGGACAGCATTTTGGGCATCTTTCCCTAAGCATCAACCAACTCCAAAATGTCTGACTTTCATTTATTCTTCCCTTCTGGGTAAATGAGAAATTATAACTGAATTTTGAATACTTTAGAAGTTACATTTTTCTAAATCTAGAAATCATTTCTACCTCCATCGCTCCTTCCTCTCAACTATTGCCATGCAAGAACCATCCATGCAGTAGATTCTGGTTGTAAAATTAGTTGGAAGACTTTTACCATATGGGCCGAATGATATGAATACTTGTAGAATCCTTGGTTGAGATCTACTATGATTACATAAGTGTATGGCAGGGGATATTTAAGCCTAGGGTTGGACTTGTTTCTTTGTGAAAGTCAGAGCCACCACGTGCAGCTTTCCCTCTGCCATGTGAGAATATTACAGAGTCCAAGCCTCAAACTATAGTTCCTCTGTTTGGGTGACACTCTGCTCTCAGGAATATTTACAGTATTATTTTTGTGTAGTGTTTTTTCTACCTGTGTTGTTGAGCATTTTAAATTCTACCCTTTCCTGAAGTACGGTTATGATCATTGGCACCTTTTTAACCCTGCGTTGGGAGGGTTTTCGCCCTGATCAGGAGCCGAGTCAATTTGCTAAGACTTTTCAGCTTTGATTTTTTTGTTTGTTTGCCTTTTTTAGACTGTCCAAGCGATTGTCCAGGCTCGACTTGGCGAGAAGATTTGTACTCGTTCATCTTCATCCCCAACGGGCTCAGACTGGGTAAAATTCCTGCTCTTTGCTAAGGGACATCCTGTAGTGCTTGTCACAGGGAGTCACAGTGCAGCAATAAGGAGTGCTGTTTATAGTATTGCTAAATCACAACAGTAAAATATCTAATTCCGTTTGATCCGTTCACTTGGAAAGGATGTTCTTCATCGAGTGTTAGGCGCCTGTTTATTTGGTTCTTGACATTCTGCTCTGATAGGTGGAAAGCTTAGTCTTTACCAGAGAAAAGTATCTTGTTAACTAGTCTTTTTAATAGGTCATTAGCTTTTCCACCCTGAGTGTTGGGGCTTTGATGCAGGGTCTCTCCTCTGGGGAAGGGAGAAGTGAATGAATGTCCGTGTGCGGTACCCAGCATACAGTCTCACTATTTGATGTCTCCAGAATGTTCCTTGTGGTGATTTGACACACAGTCCCCTTGGTTTTCTAGTTCAATTTAGCCATCAAAGACATCCCGGAGGTCACACATGAAGCCAAGAAGGCACTGGCGGGGCAGCTGCCTGCCGTTGGCAGATCTATGTGCGTGGAGATCTCCCTCAAGACTTCTGAGGTAAGCCTCGGGCCAGGCTGGCGTCTTAACTTGGCACTCACACCTCTCACAGTCTGGTTCCAACTCAGTCTCATTCCTGCCCCTTCCCTCTCTGAACGTCTCCTCGCTCTCTGAGGCGGTCCCAGCCTTTGCACTCCCGCCGCTTGGAATGTGCGCTTCACCCTCATCTTCATTTGTGTCAGCTGTGGATGCGCTGTTTCTACTCATCCCTCAGGGCTCAGTGCTCTGGAAAATCTCCCCCTTCTAGTGGGAGAGGTAGCTACTCTCTTTACACTCCCATGTGCTGTGTTTATATTTGTTTCTAGAGTATAACCTGCTGTATTGTGATTTTTTTTTTAATGTGTTTTTACTCACCTTATTCCATGTTAGGTTTGAGGCAGATATTATTACTTGTATGTTTATTAATCTGTTTCCACTACAGGATTGTGAGACTGCATGGTATAATAAAAGGCAGGTGCATCATCATCGCTAATCATCAGGGAAATGCAAATCTAAGATATCACCTTACACCCGTTAGATTGGCAAAAACATCCAAAACCAAGAGTGACAAATGTTGGAGAGGTTGTGGAGAAAAAGGAACCCTCATACACTGTTGGTGGGAATGCAAACTGGTACAGCCACTATGGAAAACAGTATGGAGATTTCTCAAAAAGTTAAAAATAGAAATACCCTATGACCCAGCCATTGCATTACTGGGTATCTATCCTAAGAACCTGATATCAGAAATCTCAAGAGTCCGTTGCACCCCTATGTTCATCGCAGCATTATTTACAATAGCCAAGACGTGGAACCAGCCTACATGCCCAGAAACTGATGATTGGATAAAGAAGATGTGGTATATATACACAATGGAATACTACTCAGCCATAAAAAAAGACAAAATTGGCCCATTCACGACAATGTGGATGGACCTCGAGGGTATTATGTTAAGCGAAATAAGCCAGTCAGAGAAAGACGAACTCTATATGACTCCACTCATAGGTGGAATTTAGTATATTGATAAGGAGATCTGATCGGTGGTTACCAGGGAAAAGGGGGGGTGGGGGGAGGGCACAGAGGGGGAAGTGGTGTACCCACAACATGACTAAGAAAAATGTACAACTGAAATCTCACAAGGTTGTAATCTATCATAACATTAATAAAAAAAAAAATAAAAGGCAGGTGCAGTTTGGAGCTACACAGACCCAAGTTTAGATCCCACCTGAGTGACTTTGGCTTGATTACTTAACGCCACTCCAACCAACACCACCGAAGTAACACAACGCTTCACAGGGCTACAATATTTTCTTATCTAATCCTTTTTGTAAAGTGCCTAACGTAACATGATCATTATGTGTTCCTTTTCATGCTTTGCACTTTTTTTTTTTTTTTTTTTTTGCTGAGGAAGATTTTCCCTGAGCTAACAACTGTGCCAATCTTCCTACATTTTGTATGTGGTCACTGCCACAGCATGGCCACTGACAAGTGGTGTAGGTCCACACCTGGGAACCAAACCTGGCTCCTGAAGTGGAGGGCACCCAACTTAAACACTGGGCCACAGGGCTGGCCCCCCTACTTTACGCTTTTATTCTTAAAGTCAGCAGCTGTGCCACATCTTACTTATCTTTGTAGTTCTTCCAATTCTTTTTGAAATGAAGCAGGACATACCTAATCATCTCTTTCTAGCACAGTGCCTGGGATGGCACGTAGTAGCTCTCAATGACTTTTGTTGAATGAATGATGCCAATACTCATTCCATTGAAACCTTAGCACCAAATAAAGCAAGACTTCCTATTCTTCTTTATTGACTTGCCAGTTTATATTATGAATTATTTTCCTTGGTGACCTATAGGGAGTCCAAAAGGAGTCCCTAGAAGAACTCCTTCCTACCCCCGGCGTCTGTGACATCTGACTGTGAACTGTTGTGATTGTCCTAGAGAAGCCACACCAGCTAGTCCTAGATACTGCTATCCAGTCATCCCTTGATTTTTGGTGGGGAAATTCAAAATTCATCATTTAAGAGTGAGAGTATGATGAGAAGGATATGTTAAGGCTACGTATTTAAGTTTGATCTACAAGTAACGTTTAGTTCTCTGTTCCACACGCTGACCCAAGCCTACTCCCGAACCTCTTCCAGCTGCTTAATAACAAGCTTGCTTGTGTTCAAACGTATGTGACTGTCCTTCTCACTGAGTGACCACAGGCGTGTTACAGGCTTGAGGAATTCTGCCTTTAATCTTTTCTTCTTCTTTCCCACCCACTGGACTAAGTCTGTTCAGAGTAACACATAGGGAGCCTGAACAGTTTGGTTAAAGACATCAGACAGCTAAAAAGATTTTTAAGTAAGGAGCTTGTTAAGGTATTCCTTAACTGTGGGTGTCACCTAAAAATATCCCCTACAGAATTGGAGGGCAAGGCTCTCTCCATAGCTTGAAGTGTCGGCCTTTCTGAAGAACGATTTGGATATACGTGCTAAAAGTCTCAGAAGCATGAATACTCTTTGGTCTAACAATTCTAATTCTGGACATTTGCCTTAAGAAATTACTTCAGGGTGTGTACAGAGTTTTGGTCTCAAGTCTATTTATCACGGTGTTGTTTATAGTAGTCAAAAGTTAGAAACAATGTATACGTCCCAGTATAGGGGGACTGATTGGATAAAATGATGGCCGGATGGCAGAATACTATGCAACCATTAAAGATAACGTAGAACTTTTAATTATAAGGAAAATTCCATGCTGTATTGATTAATAGAAAATAAGTGATAAAAATGGCATATGTAGTATGATCTCACTTTTATTTAGAAAAGTGGCTGATTGGATTATAAATTGATAATCTGATTTTTTCTTTTTGCTTATTTATACTTTCCAATATTTTTTATTTTTTAAAATTATTTATTTATTTATTCTCCTCAAAGCCCCCCAGTACATAGTTGTATATTCCAGTTGCAGGTCCCTCCAGCTCTGCCTTGCAGGATGCCACCTCAGCATGGCTTGATGAGCGGCACTAGGTCCGCGCCCAGGATCCGAACCGGCAAAACCCCGGGCCTCCGAAGAGGAGTGTGTGAACTTAACTACTCGGCCACGGGGCTGGCCCCCTTCCGATATTTTTGTAGTCGTTATATAGTGCTTTGTAATAAGAAAAAAGATAATTTAAAAGAAACAAATAAAACTGAGATATCTTTCACTTGTTCCATCTACAGGGAGATTCCATGGAGCTAGAAATCTGGTGTCTTGAAATGAATGAAAAGTAAGTGCCCTGTCTTAGGATCCTTGGCTGTGGTAGCAGAGGACGAAGCACATGGCATCATATGAACAGCAGGACTTTGTTGCCAGTCCTGGAGGGTGTTCTGACCACTTAACAAAGCCAATAGGTCTTGGCTACAATTTGCTTCATGCTTGGCTTCCAGCCCGGGCAGAGATGACCTTCAGAGGGAGTGTCAGTCCAGAGAGACTCAGACACCACGGGAAAGGAGCAGAGAGAAAGCTGAAAAGGATTTGTTGTTTTCCCAGAGTACAGCCAGTTCTCTAATTAAATCCCCTGCGAGCGCTTGTAACGTGACTACTCTGTTTTGTCTGTTTTTCGTGTGGCAGACATCCAGTAAGATTGCCCCTCACTACTCCTTTTTACACACTGCATTGGTCATGGATTGGAAATGCATGTTATTTCCCTCCTCCATTTTCTTCTTTCAAGGCAGATTAGCTTACTTCCCACCTGAAGCTTCAGTTTTCAAGAATATATAGGAAAATTGAGGAAATGGCAACACATCTAAAGAAAAATCTTTGTAATAAGTATGTGTGGTGTGGGTGTTATTTTTTTTTATTAAATAGAAAATAATTGCCAGGTTATAGTCCAGTATTTTAGTACCAAGCATACTTTTCTCCAGATTTCTTGTTAAAGAGGTAGACAGCCCATAAGATAGTACATTGAAATTGTATTTTCACCTTCAGTAATATAATTGCAATATTGCTTTATCTCTTAGAAAGATAACTGCTTCAAAGCTAGAAAAAAATGTGTTCTGTGCCTTTTGGTGCGCTTCTGCCTGTGTCTAGTGCATGTGAAAGTGAAACTTTGGCTTACCTCAACACTCTGTGGATAAGCTGACAAAGAACTTAGTTCAGAACATGTTTTAATAATAAATTTAATCTTATGCAGTTCCAGCGCTTAATTTGCAGCCACCTCTGTTGACTGTAATACTCTGTGCATGGTGTATTTGGACTGCAAAGCAGATTATATTCTCTCGGAATTTATGAATAATGCTAACAAATTGCTCTCAGTCACTGAATGGAACGTGACTAATATCTCCATATCCGTTGCATTTCTGTTCTTTGTTTTCCGTTAGTCGAATAGGAGAATCCTGATGGTGTCTCTGTGCTCCTCAGGTGTGATAAAGAAATCAAAGTTTCCTACACGGTGTACAACAGACTGTCGTTGCTGCTGAAGTCTCTTCTTGCTATAACTAGGGTGACACCTGCTTACAGACTCTCCAGAAAACAGGGGCACGAATATGTCATATTGTACAGGTAAACGGCATAGCTGCTCCCCTTCTTGATATGCTCCTCAGCCTCCTCGCTTGGCGCGTTGTCTGACCGGCATTCAGGTATTCTGTGACGGACTCTTGGACAGATGGTTGATTGGGTAGTTGGTGCTCTAGCTTGACTGTATCGTCTATCCATCCTCCCTTATGACCCTCAGCCTTGCCAAGCTACCAAGTTGTTCTTTTGTCTATGCGCAGTCCTGGTTCCTGTGGGATGGATTTTGAAGTCCTACTGATACACATGTCAAAGCTGGAAAAGGAGCCTAAGACTTTAAAACACTGCTAATTCAATTTGTTTTTCTTTTTTTTAAAGGTATGGTTTTTTTAAGGTATACGTTGTTGGAGCTTAGTTTTTATTCAACAAACCTATGTAGGTGTTTAGTTTTGGGTGCTATTGCTTGAAAAATACAAAAAATACATTTTAAGTGTTTTGTAATTCGGAATTTTAGCTAACGTAGGCTCCCTTTCCCAGGGAGATTCATGGAAAGGTTCTGCTGTTTATATTTTCAGAATACTCTTACGTGATTATTCTGTAGTGGAAAAGATTTTCTGACTTCTTAACCAATTTACTTTGGAATGACTTGTGACAAGCACGGAGAGCTCCCTTTAATTGAGGATCACTCTTCACAATCTTGTACCTTCTATTGTATATGTGAATGTTGCTAAGAGACTAGATCTTAAAAGTTCTCATCACAAGAAAAAAAGTGCTATAACTATGTGTGGTGATGGATGTCAACTAGACTAATTGTGGTGATCATTTCACAATATATATAAATATAGAATCATTGTGTTATACACCTGAAACTAATATAATGTCCTATGTCAGTTATACCTCAATAAAAAAATATCTAGTACTTTCTAATAGTAGTCCCAGATCTGTTTACCAATTTTATTCATATATTCTTTATTTTCCAGTGGGTATACTTTAAAAACACGTTGCAGGAATGGGAAGAAGAAACTTAAATAGCAGGTTCCACTTAATTATTGTTTTCCTCATTTCTTAACCAAGCTTCTCCATGCACATTCCCATGCCTGCACCGTAATTGAAGTGGTAGCATTTTCACTCCGTTAAAGGAGATGTTCATGCAGATGAGAAAAGAAGGGTTTGTTTTGTTTATTTTGTTTCTAGGTAGTTTGGCTATAGAGGCCCTTGGAATAAACAATCAGGTAACATTTCTATTTCTTCCCTACAGAATATATTTTGGGGAAGTTCAGCTGAATGGCTTAGGAGAAGGTATGTAATAAGGTTGAAAACATCTGTAGTGTTAAGAGCGCTCCTGACTTCAGAGGTGGGCTTGGATGCTGCCTGTAATAATACATAGCTTGTGATTTTAATAGGTATGATCCAAGAAAGGGAAAGACAGGTAGGTGGTCGGAAGAGCTGCCGGGGAATGACTGAGTAATTTTCCCCAAAGCTCCAGTAACTCAGTATTCTTTTTTACTCTTTATGCGTTTGTCTGTTTTCCTGATTTTCTACGTTTCTGATGAGCATCAACAATTTTGAAAACTTGGAAATGAAACCAAGAAAACCAGGAAAGCTTTGTTGGAAGTCTTACTTGCAAGGCCCTGGCTCTTCTAGACTTAGTTCTGGTGTGGCAGCTTGGGCGGGAGTGTAGTTACTTCATAAATTGAGGCGCTTGTGTGGTAAACTCCTCGTGCCCCTTTGCTATCTCACTGGACATGTGACACACCTGGGCAGGGTTGGTTAGGACTTGCTCAAGCTTTAGGACTAATAATCGTTTTACCTCTTTGAAGGTAATTTTATCTGGAAATAGAATGCTGTTTCTTCTGCCAGTATTAGGTCAATATAGGATAAATTGAAAGAAAAAAATACATATATATGCACATACATACATACCCCCACACATATATATGAAATGGAGGCTTCTGCACTCAAGATGCTAAGTGGGTGCCAGAAATTGTACTGTAGGCTGAATGATTCAGGAGGAGACAGACTCGGGCAGTGCCAGCGTCCTCTGGAACAGAGCTCTCCATTTGTCTTTTCTCCTAGGTTTCCAGACAGTCCGTGTGGGGACTGTGGGCACCCCTGTGGGCACCGTCACTCTTTCTTGCGCCTACAGAATTAACTTGGCGTTCATGTCCACCAGGTGAGGAAAGAACTTGGAATCCAAAAGAACTCTTCCAAAGACATACAAGTTTTTTGTCCCCAAACTTCGTGGCTAAGCCTACAATTCAGCTTTGCCATTGCTGAAGTCAGTCCCCTTCTGAAGAAGAAAATCACGAGAGAGACCAGTTTCCAGACTGGAGACTCTGAGTGTCCCAGTGTCAACAATGTAGAGCTGGTTGCTTCTATTTAGGGATGCAGTAGTTAAGGCCCTAGTGGTTCCTGTCGGTAGACATCAGGCCCTCTGAGGACTTCAGGGGCTAGCGAGGCATTCTGACGAATACTGCAATGTGCTTATTGCGTTACAGGCAGTTTGAGAGGACCCCCCCCATCATGGGGATCATCATCGATCACTTTGTGGACCGCCCCTATCCCAGCTCCTCGCCCACGCACCCCTGCAATTACAGGTGAGGCATGTGAAAGGCACTGCCCAGCTGCAGCGGGGCGGACGCAGCCATCTTGCACAGGTCCCTCGAGCACTTTTGTCAGCTCTCACTGATGGGCAGGGGGCACTGATGGAGAACCCCGTGGCGAGAAATGGAGTGGCGAGTTTCCGTTCTTGCTGCTGCCTCTGAGGTGCACCAAGACTTGAAGTATTCAGCATATCTCAGAAAATTCTTGGACAGTTTGGATCTTGCTGGTAGTGATTTGACTTTTGAGTTGATTTTACTTAGAGACTACAAGAGTGGTAGTAATTTGTGCAATGTCCTTCACCAATAATGGTTTTCAGGGCACCATTGGCACAATTCAGTTATATGTCAGAATCAAATATCTCCAGGCCTAGATCCCAGAAAACAGAATTCTCTAGAGGCTGAAGTAGATGTGTATCAGGAATACTGCCTTTATGTGAAGGTCTTGTAAAGTTGGATAGCTTTGTCTTTGGAGTCTAGATTTTTGTTTCATTGTGTCTCTATTGCTGACAATTCTTTGGCCCCAACACTGGCCAGGCTTAAGAAAATACTCTCAAATGATATGTCAGGTAAGATGTTTGGGTTTAAAAAAAAGAAAACCATTGTCAACCTCTAGATGCTGCTCTGTCTCTCTTTCCGTTATGAACTCTATCTGAAACAATTCTCATCACAACTTTCATCCTTGTCAAACCTCGCTTTGTATCCTTTCTGAAATCAAATGCCATCACCATAAAATTCATGATTTCTTTTCCCCTCACTATAGAACCGCTGGTGAGGACACTGGAGTAACATATCCTTCTGTGGAAGATTCTCAAGAAGTGTGTACCACTTCTTTTTCCACCTCCCCTCCATCCCAGGTAGGGGAGACAGTTTCTGGGGTGGCGGTAGTTATTTGGTACATATATGGGCCTTACGAAATGGTGTCAGAATTTAGATACAGTCTCTTTCGGTGGCAGTGGTAATTGTTTTGAGGCGGTTATTTTGAGAGATGAGAAGAGCCTTCTCATCCAGCGGGTGATAATGCAATGTTTCTAGTTGTAACTATTCTTAACCCACAAGATTCTGTGTAACCTTTACCTTCCTAGGGACATCTTAAATTCCCAAGAAAAATCAGTGACAGAATTCCAGATGCATTCTGATACCAGAGAGGTACTCCACTTGACACTTGTTAATTTGCTAGCTGCTTCTCTTTTGAAGCGGTAAATATGGTTCCTAATAACGGAAGGAACACAAAAGGAGCAATCATTATTTAGCATGAAGTGCCAGTAAAAAACCCGCAGTGCAGTTTTTCTTAATAGTTGACACGGATTTCTGCCTAGTGCATTCTCTACCTGAACATTTTTCCCCATTAGCTTTTCCATCTGAGTCCATCTTCAGCGTCAAACCCAGTTTTGATAAAACACAGGCTCCAAACAATGTTCTCGGCTTCCTGGGAGGAAGTGCCTGTGTGGCCTTGCTGTGTAATGTACATGGTACTGAGATGCTTCAGCTAAGGCGTCACTTTTTGCCAGCTGACTGAACTTCAGAAGGCCACATTCCTTCCCTCCACCCTGAGTCGTTCGTCTGCCTCCTGGCCTGCCGTTGCCTGCTCTGCCTGCCCATCATCTCTATCATTCCCCTCCTCATTGACTTTCACATTAGTTTCATCTAGACCCAACTCAGTTCTGCTTTCCTTTAAACTAGCCCCAGATTACCCCTTTTCACCATCTTATTTTGGGGACCCAACAAGTTAATTAGCTATTCATAAGTTTTTCTTTTTTGTGTTTTTTTTTGTTAAAAATATTTGAATTTATTCCATCCTGCGTTGTTAGGAAATACTGGATTAAAGTTATCATTCTAATCTGTTTCAAAAGCATAAGTTAGGCACAAAAGCTAACCTAATGTGTGTGAAGGATGTTACAAAATCTATGGATCACTGTTATTTCTGTTGTCCCGGTTTAGAGTTAAAGAGGTTTTTGTTGTAAAGTTGCAGACAGTTTGGTGATGTGAGAACTGTTACTCCCTCTCTCCCCATCAATATATATAGGCATGAGTGTCGCCATTGCTGTGGGAGGGGGTAGCTCTGGTACACTTACTGACGTAGAATAAGGTGGCGGGGGGGGCGGAGCCATTTGTTGTTTGTGCCGTCGAGTTGATTCCGACTCCTGGCAGCCCTGTGCACAGCAGAGCAGAACCCTGCCCAGTCTTCTGCGCCCTCCTCTCACGTTCCAGCGCTCTATCAGACTGTGCTCCCTGCTGTTCACAGGGTTTTCACGGCTAATCTTTTCGGAAGTGGGTGGCCATGTCCTTCTTCCTAGGCTGTCTGAGTCTGGAAGCTCCGCTGAAACCTGTCCACCACGGGTGACCCTGCTGGTGTTTGAAATCCTGGTGGCCTAGCTTTCAGCCTCACAGCCACACGCAGCCACCACAGTATGACAGCCAGCAGACGGGGGGTGTGGTTCCCTGACTGGGAAGTGAAGCCCAGGCCACAATGGTGAGAGTGCTGAATCTTAACCACTAGAGCACCAGACTGCTTTTTCACTGTGCATATTAGTGGGAGTAGGTTTTTTTTATAATCAAAAAGTGAATATGTCAAGTTTAATGTTCATTAAACAGTTTTGTTTTACAAGTGGTAAATTCATAAACAGTAAATAAAGTTATGACTTCAGAGATAGGAGAGATGGTGAGGCTGGGCCTTAACAAATCAGTTTGTCTCTTTCTCTGACGGTGGAAATTTGACCCGACCCCAAAAGTAAAGGGAAGTTAAGTGGTTTCTGCCCTGATGTTTGCAAAAAGGTTTATCGACCTGTGTAAGGAGAGCCTGTCTTTTTCATGGTATCAGTTGCTTGTTGTGTCTCATAGTTTAAAAGTAGATCACACCAAGATCTCGTCAATACTGAGCACCCATAGGTGAGTCAATACTCAGCAACTCGGATCAAGGCTGCTACAGTTTGGTGTAGAAATATTCGTTTGGAACCTTGACGGTAGAACAGAGTGAAAATCATTTGCTGTCAGGTCTCCTCATTCTTGTAAATATTGCAGTGGTTTTTTCCTTGGTGTAACCGAGGGAATTGCATAATTGTTCAGCAACTTCTGTTTGAGCTTTTGCTAGAGTCCAGTAAATACATGTTAATGTGATGTTTGTTTTGCCAACAAAATAAGGATCATTGTATCATTTGGGCCCAGAGTTGAGTCAAGAAATAGTTGTGGCCCTGAACCTGCTGCTGTGACTTAAGGCCCTGTCTCCAGTTCTAAGCGCTAACCAGCTCACTGGTGAGACTTGAAGAAGGAACAGCAAGTTCTCCAAGGCCATCAGGGACTATAAGGAAACACACACATGCACGCACACGCACACGCACACCTGCACGCACCCACTCAGCTTCCCTGGGATAATGTAGGAAAATATGCAGTCAGGTACGTTAGCTCTTCCAAGTTCCAACCAACAACTGTCAACTGTTTAAACCTGTCCCTGCAGATTCTGGGTCCCCACAGAAAGGTCTTCAGCCTAATGTTCTAGCCTCGGCGTCCTCATTCCTCCTCAGCACACCTTGCGTCTGCTCTCAGGCCCTTCCTTTCGGAGGCTGTTCTCTGACATCCTCCCACCCTCTTGACTGAAGACTGACTAATGCTGGGTTCGGGTTTCCCTGTGTTGCCCAGCCGCGCCCCCCCCCCCCCCCCCCCCCCCCCCCCCCCCCCCCCCCCCCGGCTTGACTCAGCTTTGTTTTCCTCCTGCTCATCAGGGAGACAGGCTGCAGTGGAGCACCCTGGGATAAACGTCTCCTCTTCAGACTCTTCCAGGGGGTCCTTTTTGGAAGGCAGTCATGCAGCTTTCTCCCTGCTTTCACTCCTGACTTCCACTGTGCATTTCAGCCTCTATTGCTACTGCCCCTTCTGGAGTTTTTTTCACTTCTTTCTCAAGTCCCTTTTCTTTTTTCTTCTCTTGTTTCTCCTGTCTCTGTGTGTATCTGTGCACAGTGTGTGTTTACTGTCACAAAGGCACATTTTCAGACCCCTACTCCTGTGGTGACGGACACCCTGAGGGTCCCCATGGCAGGACTGGCCTTTTCCCATCAAGTGAGTCCATACTGGGAAGATGGGGATATAATGAGATGGCATCATTTTATTTAAAAGTTGTAAATAAAGTAAAGTACAGGGTATAACTATTTAAATGTCCCCAAGTGTTCTGTGGGTTATTTTGAGGCTTGATAATTGGTTTTTAAGAGGACACAGTCATAGCACACCAGCCCAAAATAGGATTTCTCTTTTGCCCCTCCTCCTACCATTGATGTGAAAAATACTGGGAGTTATTTATATCTTATTTCCAAATAAACAATCCAAGAGTGGCATTCTTTCTTTTTCAGTATACATAGGAACCCTCCCATACCCAGGGGTGATGGAAGGAATGATTAGAGAAGATGCCTTTTGTTTTAAAGGGACCTCAAGGACAAATGAGAAACTAGAATGACCTGGGAAAAACTGATGACTTTGGCTCCAAGTTCTGCGTAGGCTTGTGCTCCACAGATCAGCTGGGCTGGAAACCAAAACAGTTAGCTGAGCCCCTGGGAAAAGGGGGAGCAAGGAACTCTGGAAGCCTTTGGAAGGTGCAGAGCTGGGAATCCCAGTGCCACTACACACAAGTCTGTTTCCTTATCTAGAACGCAATGGCCTGGTCTGTCTTTAACCCTTCCATCAGGCCCCCGCACCGTGAGGGTGTGGGCTGGGGTCCGCTTCTTACCCTTCTACTGACCTGGATCATTAGTCATACTCTAGGATGGCCTATTTTTTTCTCCTCCTTTCCTCTGCCCCTCTTTGTTTTTCTCTTGCTTAGCTCTCAAGCTCTCGCCTTTCCTATCAACCTGCTGCTCTGGGCGTTGGATCAGCTGACCTGGCTTATCCAGTAGTGTTTGCTGCTGGCTTAACCACCACACACCCTCACCAGGTATCTTTAAAGATGGGAGGACCCTGGGGGCTCCTATGCTGTCTACCTTGCCCTGAGGCAGTGCAAGGCCTCTTGACACGCTGGCATTACTCCAAGTGTTCTGAAGCAAAGCTCTTCGTAACTGGAGGACTGAGGTGACTGAGAGGAAGGGGCTTCTTAGCCTTCAGAAAGGAAAGAGAAGCTGCCCAGTGTTTTCTCCTCTTTCCTTTTGCCTCTGTAGTCATTATCTTGCATGTCTCCCATTGACTGAGTCCTAGAGAGGATACAGATCCAAGGTTTCCTGCCCACTTGGTGGCAGCATTGGTGATGGAAGAGCTGGAAAGCAGATACCATCATGCTAGGTCGTAAGTTTCCCTCCTGACTGACACTGCCATGAGTCACTATTTTTCCATTCTTCCCCAAAGCTAATGGTTCCCGGGAAGGAAGGCGGGGTACCCCTTGCTCCCAACCAGCCTGCCCTGGGTGCCCAGGCCGACCAGGAGAGATTGGCAACCTACACCCCTTCTGACGGGGCCCACTGTGCTGCCACACCTTCCAGCAGGTGAGTTCACGTCTTGGCTCTGCCACTGCTCAGGCTAGCCAGGAGGCCTGTCCTCCCCAACTCATGTGCTTATTTGGTATCAGGGAAGAGTAGCTGTCAACATCAGCTCAGACTTGGCATTTGTGCCCAGAATGTGGAATCCTTAAAGCTCCTGATAAGAATCTTATGCTGCAGCTGGTATGTAAGGAAGCTGACCATGCGCTTTGCTGCCAACAGCAGGGCCTGGCCTGCTAGACCCCTCACCCAGTGGAGGGCCTTCTCAGACATTTTTCTCTGGCCCCCAGATTTATTCCCTTAGAGTTGCTCCTCGTTTTTCCTGAAGACCAGAACAGGGTGTTCACCATCACCTTGGCATCGGGCCACAGTGTATCTTGGTGGTGGTTAGGATTGATGTTCTTTTTCTGCTATGTTAGCGCCTCATGGAGATCCTTTAGGAACAACTATTTTTCCTCACTGCAGTTTTTAAAAAATCTTTGTCTTTTCTGATGACAGAAATGATACAGTCTGTAAAATGCAAATTATCAAGACATTGATTAGGTAGAAAATGAAAGTTCTCATAATTCCACCCTGCAGAAATCACCACTGTTACCTCCTTTTCAAAGACCTGAGGGTCTCAGAAGGGTTAAGTAATTTGCCCAAAAGCACTTAGCTTGCAAAATGGCTGGGCACAAGCCCAGCTCCTGGGACTGCAAAGCCTGTGCTCTGTCTTTCCATGACACTCAGAGTTCTCCCATGGGCAGCCGAGGCTGTCTTGACCTGCTCTGCCCCTCTTGACTGGAAGGCCCCAGAGATCATGACGGAGATTGCCTGACCGCATCTTAAATGCATTTTTGGATAATAGGAATTCCTGGAATTTTTTTTTTTTCATTCCCACAGTGGAGTGGTGGGAGGGGAATTGTTTGGGAAGGTCTTTTTGTGCTATCCATCAGGAAAAATAATTACTTTCATTCCTGGCTTCCCAAATTTCCATCCTCTTATCCCTCCCCTGTTAGATAATCAAAGGAAGATCTTGTTAGTCATTTTACACTCATTTTCTGAGCCTCGACTCCTGGGGCATGTCTGGGAGTAGCTGAAGACAGGAGGCCCTGTTGAGGGGGTTCTTTACTAAATCCAGATCGTCAGAGCTCAGGGCTCCCTCAGTGCTGCCTGGAGTCCAGGGGCCACTTGGATTGCACAGTCCTCCTGCCCACCTGCAGCCGTTGGCCACAGGACCTTTCCTGTCGGCTGCAGCTTGCAGGGCTGTGTCTGCTGGTCTCACAGCCACAGGATGTCCCCTTGTTTCTGCTGCTTGGAGCCCCCATCATCACGTCATCACCATTCTGGAGGGCTGGAGAGGGCAGGAGTGAGAGCAGCCCAGTTGAAAGGCCTTGCTGAACAGAGGGATGATTGGAGGCAGGGAGCGGGGAGGAAACATAGTACGGCGCACAGAGGACCTCAGCCAAGTGATCTCGTGGGCAGACAAAGGCCTGGCCATCTAGAATCAAATTTGGGACTCTTGACTTAGAATAATGGCAATGTCTCTTGTGAGGTAAGGCTTAAGTTTAACATTGTACTGTAAACTGTACAGTCTTATGGTATTTTTAGATTAAAAAAGATGTAGAAAAGCTGAAACTGAGTCTGAAACAACTAAACTTATAGTTGTTTCTGAGAAATGCTTGCCTCTATGAATGATTGCCCTGTGCACGGTAACTGATGCTCCTCATCGATATTTCAGCTTAAATGTTATGTAAGCTTTACACAATTGTGACACTAAGTTTCACTCAGATATGCATAATTTTAGTTGTTCCAGGAACTCTGCTCTCAACTCAGAAGGGAGGGGGACAATGGCAGCAGCCAGACCGCATATTGGCATTTGCCATGTGGGTGGGCTGGCAGGGGCACCTCCTGCCCTAGGCTGCAGCCCCGCAAGACGGTGGCTTCACGGGGAGCCGTGGAGGCTCAGCTGTGGTTTGAGAGTGAATACCCACACTACCTTTCTTCTGCAGCGAGGACACGGAAACTGTATCAAACAGCAGTGAGGGACGGGCCTCCCCACACGACGTCTTGGAGACCATCTTTGTCCGAAAAGTGGGGGCTTTTGTCAACAAACCCATCAACCAGGTGATTTTTCTGCCACTGCCACCTGTGGGAATGTCTGAGCCCTTCGAGCGGGCCTTACAGGCAGGGCTCCTAACCTGGGATCTGTAGAAGTGCTGAAATTGCATGCAGAATTGTGGGAGGGTGAATATTTTGTGAAGAGGATTAATAACCTACAACACCCCTCCAGAAGAAGTTTAGAACTATTGTTCTGTGATCTTTTAAGCTTACGGTAGGAGAGGGAGACCAGACGCCTTTTAGCAGAAACACACTGCATGGGAGTGTCATTGTCTCAGCCTAACTTGAAATAGGAAGTTTCTCCTCAGCTCTGTCAGTGAAGAGCAGTTGTCGCCGAAGTACTCTGGGTCGAGCTTCCTGGGGAGCCCTAACCCCTGTTTCTGCTGTGGGCATGTGATGGAAGGCAGGGGGAATTGAGGGGGTCTCCAACAAGACAGGAACCTGAGGTGTGGCATGGTCAGCCTAGGGGTGCAGACTTGCTGGACCTCTAGGCTCCTGGCAGCGTCTACGGAGGCACGTAAGCTGGGGGAGGCACGGGCGCTAATACTTCCTCCTGTGTCCCTTCAGGTGACCCTGACCAGTTTGGACATACCCTTTGCCATGTTTGCTCCCAAGAATTTGGAGCTGGAGGATGCCGATCCCATGGTGAGTCCACCACTGACTAAAGTTTCCAGGGAGAGGGTGCTGTAGTCGTCGTCGTCCTTCCTCCACAGACCCGTAGCCATGCCCGTTGGTCTATGGATTTGTGGCCCACGTTGGGTCCCTTACAAAACCCTTGGTTGTTAACGGTAATTTGCACCCAGAGTGCAGAACCAGCCCCTGCCTCTGCCTTTGTTTGAAACAGGTGAATCCTCCAGATTCCCCAGAGACTGAGTCTCCTCTCCAAGGCAGCCTGCACTCTGATGGCTCCAGCGGGGGCAGCAGTGGCAACACTCATGACGACTTTGTTATGATTGACTTCGTAAGTTGCCATCACTTTCCTAGACCATTGCTGCCCCAGGGGAGATAAACCTGGAGCATCCATTGCACTTGAACAGGACTTCTTCACAGGAATCAGATGGGCCGGCTTAGACAGGGGATGGGGCAGGTGGGTGCCCGGCTGTGCAGTTCATGTGGGCAACCTGCCCTCATACTCTGCTTGGGGAGACATTTGGAGGCCCATGAACAATAAGGCATTTTGTGACCAACCATGTGGCATAGTGGTTAAGTTCGCACACTCCGTTTCTGCAGCCTGGGGTTTCGTGTTTCAGATCCCAGGCACAGACCTAGCACCACTCATCAAGCCACACTGTGGCAGCGTCTCACATACAAAATAGAGGAAGATTGGCACAGATGTTAGCTCAGGGACAATCTTCCTCACCAAAAAAAAAACAAAAAAAAACCCCACCAATGAGACATTTTGTGCCATGTCTTTGATTGAAATTCGTAATGAAATTCATCTCTAAATGGTGGTTTCCCAGTGGAATCCTGAATGGATAACCCTTTGGTAAGGAGAGGAGTTTGAAGGAAGGGGGCAGAAACCTAATTAGGGGAGAGGAATGTGATCATCAGGATTAGAATTCGATGGGCCAGCAGAGAAAGGTGTAAAGATGCTCCTCCTAAGATAAGCCTGGAGGAACCTCTTTTTTGGTAATTACTGAAAGGAAGGAGGGTTGTTTATAGCTTAACTCCTGTGGTTTTCCTCTGTGGTCCAAGGCAAGCTAAACTGAATCTGTTTTATTTTTGAAGACAAGCTAAACTGAATCTGTTTTATTTTTGAAGAAACCGGCTTTTTCTAAAGATGACATTCTTCCGATGGACTTGGGGACCTTCTATCGTGAATTTCAGAACCCCCCTCAGCTGAGCAGCCTCTCCATAGATATTGGGGCCCAGTCAATGGCCGAGGACTTGGTATGGAAACCCCTCCCCCTACACCTCATCCTCTGACCTCCCGTCCCCCTTTGGTGGTTACTCCTGCTCCACAGGCCTAGAAATTTCTTCCTGTTACTCCTCCCACCCACTCGCCTCCCATCTTCCCTTAACAGGAAAGAGATACTTTTAGACCATTATCTTCTTTTGATCACACTTGAGATTTGCATCGTGCCTGGGAGTCATTTTCTTGCATTTGCGTGCACTGACTTCCTCCTTTCCTCTGCACACTCCCAGCAGCACTGCCACACTCCTGTCGTTTGGTGCCTGCTGGCTGCTACTTGCTGGTGCCACTAAGCCACGCTGCTCCAGCAGCTCTTTAGCTTGCCAGGCAGATGCCGGTGGTCCAGGGTAGAAGAAATAGGAGGTCCTGACTGCTGGTGTTCTTGCCCTTTCCACGGACAGCCCGTCCCTCAGCTAGCGGTTCTCATGCTTAGCCAGATGTCCTGGGACTGCCTGTAATCACCACATCTCCGCTGAGGGTATTCCCTGTTTCCTGCCTCTGGAGGACAGAGGAGCGCCCTGCACAGCCACAGACTCTGGCTGCCCCACATCATGAGATGTCGGGGTCCCTCTGCTTGAGGTGGAAATAGTGCCTCCTGTATCGAAATTAGAGGAGTGGCTCAGGACCTGGATATAGCTGCCTCTGATCTCTTTAAACAGAAAAGCATGCACAGTAATAATAACATAAGGTAATAATATCCTTAGTAATATTAACATTTCCCGAGGCTTTCTAGGTGCCAAGCGTTTTTCTAAGCGCTTTATGTGAATCTTCAGTAACCCTAAGAGGTAGGTTTTCGTATTGTGCCGGTTGACAGATGAGAAAACCAACACTGAACAAATAACTTGCCCGTGCTCACACGGAGCCGGCGAAACGAAGCTTTGATCCCAGGGAGTCTGGCTTCTGATTTGGGTCTTTTAACCACTGCCTCCCGAACCTCTCATTTGAAACGTGCTTGGAAGGAACTGGACTCCAAAGGCTGTCAAAGTGACCTGCAGCCGGTTGCACCGGCCTGCCAAACCCGCCCGCGCTGTCCGGTGTGTCCGGGCCACTTTATAGGTTCTGAGGCAGCACAGTGTCCCACCTTTCTGAGTACCTTGCGCCTGTCAGTAAATCTGCAGATGCAAATTCACCAGTAGAGACAGACCACCTGATTAAGATCCAGTTTCTATTAATAGTTGACACTTGAGGGCAGTTAAACTTAACTCCCTGTGGTTCTCTTTTATGTTCTCTCTCAACCCGCCCACGTCAGCTGATGTAACGAGGCAGACTCCTAGGCTTCCCCGCAGGCTGCTGAGTCGGCATCTCTTGGGAGCATGGTTGGGATGCCTTGTTCCTGCGGGACTCTGATGCCCGGCACCGGGTGTGAAGAAATCTTCCATAACCTTTTCTTCATTGGTAGCACTCTGAACCTGCTGTTTTATTCTAGTGTCAGTCTAATCAGTGCCAAAGATATTTCACATGTAATTTCTCTGCCATCCTGTTGTTGGCGTGGTCCTTTTCTATCTCATTAAGTGTGTGGCCCGCTTGGGTTTCCTAGGCTGTTCTGTCCACCCTCCAGCCCCCACGAAACCCTGCTGGACATAAGCCCGCTGTCCGGTGCCTGTTCAGCTGCCCTGCCTTCCCCTGCTCTCCCAGCTCAGCCCTGCTGAGCCGGCTGTCTGCGGTGGCCCCTTCCTCAGCCCGGGGGACTGGGCAAGCTGCCTCTTCAAGGCCCTGCCTGAACAGGCCGCTTTTCTCTCTCCGCCCGGTACAGGACTCGCTACCAGAGAAGCTGGCTGTGCACGAGAAGAATGTCCGAGAATTTGATGCCTTTGTAGAAACCCTGCAGTAAAAGTTGGTGTCCTCGAGTACCAGCATCCCCTCTCTGTGGTCCCAGGAGACAGAGAGCCTCTCACTCATCAGCTGCTCGCATCCCTGGTCCTGCTCCAAGCCAGGTGGAAGGGAGGCTGGGGACCCAGACATCCCTGCTCTTGCACCTCCTGGCAGCATCAAGCCAGTGATAGCATTTGAGAGGACTGAACCTCTAGCCTTGGAGATGGGAAGACGGTTTGTAACAGAGGGGCCTCCACAGGGCCATCTGCTTACAGCACCCGTCAGCAACTGCTTCACAAAGGCTGTCGTCCCGTTCCTCCTGCTGCCACCCCCCGCCCCGGGTCTGCCCTGCGGCTGGCCGCTCGCCTGCCTGCTGTACCATCAACCGTTTGACATTCCAGCTGGTGGCCCAGAGTCTGGTGTGGAGGCGGAAAGAGGAAGGAGACAGTGCTGGGAGGAAGAAGGAAGGACTCCTTCAGGCTCTCCTTGTTGTTTCCTTTAGTTCTGGTATCTTCTTCCTCTCTCTCTCCCCCCTCTCTGCCCCTGTGCCTATACTTTTGGCAATATGACCGGCCTCCTGCCCAGGTGATGAGAACTCCAGAGTCAGCCTTTCCTGCCCTCGAAGGTTGTGCCGCTCATCCCTGAACAGAAGGTCCGAGCAGCCCTGGTGGCTGCCGTGCTCAGCTCCTCAGCTACGTGGGGAAACGATCCTAGGACTGCGTCTAGGATTCTGTCATTGGGCATCAGCAAAAGTTCTTCTCTTCCCTTCCTCCCTCCCCCTGTTGCTGCTCCTTGGTGGTAGAACACGCTAATTATTTATTACTTTGAGAGAGATCAGATATTTTATAGAGAAAATACGTCCGAGGTTAGATGTTTTCACTTGGGGAAGGTGGCCTCTCTCTGGGCAAGCCTCCTCGGTGGAGGTTCCTCAGAGTCCGGCTTGCTGCCTGCAGATCTTGCTTCCCATCTGTTTAGAGCAGGATCCAAGAAGAGGGCTGGCTGAGGGCAACAGAACCTCCCAGAATCGCTGCATTTGAACTGACAACAGGCTTTCCCTTGGACGTATTCCTGGTGAGAGCCTCGAGTCTCTCGGCTTCTGCAGACCTTCTTCTGGCCGCCCAGCAAGTCTTGGGTGCCAAATGTGATGACTCCCCAGAGTTGTGCCACATACAGTGCCCCAGGGCCATTGTGGCTGCCCTGCTGTGGCCCTGGGGAAGGACAGACAGGCCTCCTTCTGGGGTACTTGTTCCTCTTTCTTGGGGCTGAGTTGTGGGCTTTTTCCTCCTTCCGCCTGGGCCTGGCCATCACCGTCCTTTAATCCCAGGGTCTGTACACTGCCCTGAGGTTTACTGGTTGGATTGGTTCCTTGTGAAGAAACCAAAGCTGGGTATACAATTGACTTAGCCCTTCGGGTATCGTTACTTGAGTAAGCGCAGTGCCTAGCCTCCCCCACCTACCATTTGTCCCTCTCCCACTAACTGGTAGTCCTGGCCCAGGAGAGCTAGGCCTGCTCCCACCCTGGCCCGCCCGGAGTGGGCACTGGCAGCAGCTGTTCTGCAGTGGAGCAGGTGGCCCTCAATTGCTTGTTAGTAAATGCATGTGACATTGTTCCCACCTACAAGGCTGACCTCCGAGGGCCAGAGTAGGCTCTGTTGCTGTCTCAGTTAGGCTGAGCCCTGCCCCGTTGCATGCATTCCGCTGCCACAAAGAAATGTTCCCAGCAGTGGTGTCCAGCTGGCCCTCCTGCCTTTGGGCCAGAGCACACCGATGGCCTGCTAAACCCATCCAGATTTACCTGCAAGGCCCTGGTGCTGAGAAGGGTGAAGGCCTGGTACGTTTGATTGCCTCCCCCGACTGGCCCCAGGATCTCAGCTGCTGCCCTCCATCCGAGGCCAAGCATGGTGGGGCCTGTTAGCCATTGTCTTCTTTGACTCCTGACTGTCAGCCTCTGCAGGCAGCATTCTTCTTCAGGACCCCATCAATGAGAGGCCAGGGAGGCTGAGCCCTGACTTTGAGCTGAGCCTGGGAGGAGCAGAGCAACTGTCAAGGCCGGCCCTTGCCCCTCAGCCCTGTCCGAGGCCAGGTATGAGCCCTAGACTGACCCCTGCAGCACCCTGGGACAGGGCTGGGGCCAGCCACCTGAATCCAGGTGGCACAGGCCCTCCCGCTCCTCCAGCCTACCTTGTTTGGAAGTACGGAGCTATACTTTAAAATGTATTCAAGAGGTTTCCAATAAAAGTTTTTCTGTACTTTACAGCCTCCTGTCGTGCAAGTTGTCTAAAATCCTAGCCAACTCCCTCCCACTTCTGCGTAGGCCCAGGTCACCGGCAGGCTCTGTGGAAGGGGAAGAGCCGTGCGTGTGAGCACAGAAAGGCTGCAGAGTCAGGCAGGCTGCTTTGAATCTTGGGGTTTGGCCACTTCCCAGCTGTGCAGCCTTCGGCCCATCAGGAAACCTCTCAGAGCCTCCGCATTTTCCTTGGCTGTAATGTTCCCATTTCCGCGGCTTGTATGCAAATACTGAGTGAGATAATGTGTATGAAGTAGACGTGCATGTGAAGCGCACCCATAGCACAGTCTCCGTGAGATGGAGGCCCTCATCCTCAGCTCTTTCCCCTCTGCAGCACAGCTCACCACTCAGCGGGAAAGACAGCTGACAAGGCACTGCCGTGTTTGCAGTGGGGGCTGGGCACAGAGAGCGGGCGCCCTGAGCTGCCCAGCCCTGCTTGCTGATCCAGTGTGAGGGGTTGTGGCCGAGCAAACCAGACAGAGGGAAGGGGTGAGTGAAGCATCAGGGAGTCAGGCTCCTTCAGGTTTGCTAGCTGCCCCAATCTGACACACAGCTCGAGTCAGGGCACTGGGGGAGTCTCTGACAGCCATGGGGATGATTGCTGTGGCCCCCTGCGGGCTTCTGCGCAGACATCCAGCCCTGGCAGAGCAGCTCTTGCTTCCTAGTTTGTGCCCGAGTGGGAGGAAGGGAGCGGAAGGTGGAGCCGGCATCCCAGAGGAGAGGTGCTTCTAGAGGCAAAGGACTGCCTGTCCGACAGATCCAGACAACTGCCGTCTGGGCTGCTCCCCATCTCCTTCAGGCTGAAGCCAGGCCCCAGGGCAGAAAAGTGCCAGTTAGAAAATCCTTGGGGGCTGGCCCCGTGGCTCAGTGGTTAAGTTCGCGTGCTCTGCTGCAGGCAGCCCAGTGTTTCATTAGTTCGAATCCTGGGTGCGGACATGGCACTGCTCATCAAACCACGCTGAGGCAGCGTCCCACATGCCACAACTGGAAGAACCCACAACGAAGAATATACAACTATGTACCGGGGGGCTTTGGGGAGAAAAAGGAAAAAATAAAACCTTAAAGAAAAAGAAGATCCTAAATTCGACCCAAACCTGGGGCTGATTAAGAATGGGGCCCTGGGAGCCCTTGCTTGTTAATAAACAGCACATGACATTGACCATGATACCTGACCATGCAGCCAGTCAGGAGAGAGTCGCCCCACCCTAGCGTCAGGAATGGTGGAAAGACTGTCCCTCGTGTCCTCACCTTCGATTGGGATCCCCCCAAAAAGCAAAGTGTTCAGTTGTCCCATGCCTGCCGACGGTGTCCTCCCCCCTTATGCATCTCGCTGCACCCGGGCCCCGGAGGCCTGCTGTTGCTAAGGCAGGGCGGACTGGCTTTGAGTCACTCAGCAGAGGTCCTGCCAGGAGCCCAGCCCAAGTAAACAGCTTTCCCCGCTTCCCGCTCCCTCTCCTTGTTGCCCGGGGTCACTGCCCCTCTGTTCTAAACAGTCCCCCAGCTCAGAGCTGAGCAGAGCAGGGAGAAAGAAAGGCTGCCGGGGCCTTCTGTTCGAGCTGCCCGGATGAGGACCACAGCTGTGCAACGGAGCTCACGTGTGTTTATCACCACCAACTGTCACCACCACTAACACAACAACTAACTAACAACTAACAACAACACAGATCCTGCAGCTCTGGCCCGGCTCCTTCAGCCCAAGCAAGCAATGAGGACAAAGAATAGGCCCGACTGAGGCCACCATGGCCTCCTGATTGCCATCAGCAGGCAAGCAGCAAACAGCTGCAACTTGACCCAGACCGCCGTGCCAAGTGAAATCCTGACCGGCTCTCCCAGTGACAAACTATTTTCTTAAAATTGTGGTAAGATACACATCACAAATTTTATCATCTTAACCTTTAGAGCAAAGTAAAACCTGCTCAAAAGAGGAAAGGAAAACTGGATCTTTCGCAGCTGCCCTGTGACTAGGTGGCAGGGCTCTCAGGCTGAGGGGGGCGGGGAGGAGCAGAATGGTCAGGGGGTGAGGCTACCAATCCCTTGCTGCACGAGGTTGGGACTACCACTGCGCTCATCTGTGAAATGATGGGCACTCAGTCCGTGTTATGTCCTGTATACGTTACTTCTGATCCTCAGAGAAATGAAGAAACAGTCTCAGAGGTGGGCCCATTATACGACTATTACCAGTTGGAGCTGGTGGTGAGTGAGGGAACTAGGATCCAAACCTCGGTCTGACTCTAAAGCCCATTCTGTTGTCCACCACAGTCCACGCCATTTGGGAGACAGAAGAGGCCCTGGTCATAAGCCACAGCACTTGGTGGCCAGCTGGAATGCTGCGGGTGCGAAAAATGGAAGGTGACTGTCCACTTCTAAGCCTGGAAGATGGTCAGAAAGCTGCCCTCATGGCCACTCACAGGGAACGAGATGAGCAGGGGGTCAGGTGGACTGGGGGGGATTTCCTGGGGCCCCAGCTGCTCTTCTGCAACCACACCACACTTCCCACCAAGTTCTCAACCTCCGCGCCCACTTCCTCAACAGCCAGATGGGCAGTTTCCATCTCCATTTTTATTGAAATACAAAATGTGCAAAGGTGAAGTACATGATTGGTGCCGAGCAAGTCATTAAGTGTGAATGTGAACTCTTGATTCACAGTATAAGCGCCGCCCACCCCCGCTGCCTGGGTACAGACCAGTGAGGCAGGGGACAGACAAATAGATCCGCGGACTCCCAGGTAAACGGGGCTGTGAGCAACGCCTGATATACAAAGGAGGGCAGAAAGCAGAGGCCCAGGCCCAGCTAGAGACGCACGGACTGACAGAACCAGCAGCCACTCCAGGCCCGGGTGTCCTGACATGCCAGTGCCCTGGGGAGAGAGCCCAGTGAGGTCAGGGCAGGCCTCACCCGGCTCCCAGATGGACCTGGGCTAGACGGTGAGGACCCCCACGCTACAGGCTCTAGCCAAGGCTGTGGGACAGGGCCGCAGGAAGCGGGGGTCCCCAGGGTTCACCAGGAAGGAGTGTAATTCTAAGGGACACAGCTGGAGTGAGGGATATCCATCATCATCAGGGTCCAGGTTTTCTGAAACACACAGGGCCCTGGGGATCCATGCTCCTTGGGGGAGGTTGCTAGAACTCACCTGGCGGGGGCCGAGCTAATTAGCAAAGTCTCTGCCTGGCCCCTCCAGGAGTCCCCAGCTGGAAGAAGGAGCCACCACGGATCCTGAGGCACTGAGTCATCTCTGCCAGAGCAGGGACCAGTGTGACTCCACAACACACATGTCCAAACAGCCCCAGGCTGGGGATCTGTCCAGGTGGGAAGGGAGGCAAGGTATGGGGGCCTGAGACTGCTTGTCACTGGTCTGACCAGACTCCAGGGGAATCTGGGGGTGGGGGAGAGGAGTCTATTTCAAATGGATGCTGGGACTCCACCCTGTCATCCAAGCTGCCAGTCCTGGCAGAACCAGGGGGTTAGGACATCCTGGGGGCAGTACCACTTGGGAAAGGAGGATCCAGGATGCATAGAAGAGAAGGCAGAAGTAGGAAGCCGAATCCAGCCTCGTCATTCCCTAGCTGTGGAAATACCTAAGGCTGAGCCATCAGGGGCCAGGACAGGAGCAGGCTGCTCGCACCCAGGCCCTCACCCAGACAGGGAGGAGCCTCAGCAGGGCCGGCCCACGCCAGCTCAGCCTTTCATTCCCCAGCAATCAGGAAGGGGAGGACCAGCCCCAGCTACCAGCCCGTGGCAGTGATTTTGGCATCTGCAGTTGCCAGGGAAAGAGAGGCAGGAGGAAGCAGGAAAAGGGGTGCTGGGGCCAGTCCTTCCATTGAAGAGCCAAGGCCAGCTCTGCAGAGCCCAGCGGGAGCCAGGGATCCAAGGAGGCAGTGAGAAGTATAAGGCGAAGAAAACGTCTTGCGGCTACAGCGAGGCCTCCAGGGCCAGAGAGGTGGGCCCGACAGAAGGGGGAGGAGGAGCTGCCCGGTTGGCTGGCTCTAGCTTCCATCGCCCGGGGGCCTCATGGCCCCTTCCCAGGCAGGAGCCCCGGGCTCCCATAAGGCTGATGCCAAGAGGAAGAGTCCAAACTGGGGCCATCAGAGAAGGGGGCTGGGGGGGCAGGGGTGGGGCTCAGAGCCCCTTGGAGTCAGAGCTAGGGAACAACTCCCACTGATGGTCCAGGAGGAACTTGGTGAAGGTGTTGATGGGATTAATGGCCTTGAGGGTGATAGCAGCATCCTTGGCCCACAGCAGGTTAGGGCCGAAGACGACAGCCAGGTTAGTGTTGGTCATCTTGTTGTGGTCAGAGTGGGCAGAAATCTGTGGAGGGAATCGGGGGGCTGCAGCAGGAAGCCACGGGCCCTGCCTCCCGCGCCCACGCCAGGGAACAGCAGGGGCAGCAGCTCCTCCTCCCTCCCCCCGCCCCTCCTGCCTCCAGATGAGCAGTAGAGGCGCGCCTGAGGTCTCACCTCCACCAGGAAGGCAGTGAGGAACCGGAGCACCAGGAAGTTCTCCTCAGGCAGCGTCCCGAGGGCCTGCAGCGTCGCCTCCACTCTCTGGCTCTCATCAATGTCTATGAGGAACGGGGCCCAGGTTACAGGGGCCCAGGGCTGGGCTGGGGCAGGAAGCCTTAACACAAGGCTAGAAGGGAGACCCCAGCCAGGCTTTCCTTGGAGGACAGGCCAAACCCGCCTGCTCCGAGTCCAGCTCTGCCCAGGCAGAATAAGCGCAGGGCTGGGGAGGGAAGAGAGGGCACTCACTGAGGAAGCCCACAACGTGGTGGTAGAGGTCAAAGGTGAGCAAGGGCTCAGGAAGCTCCCGGAGGAAGGTTTTGAGGATGACCGCTGGCAGGTGCAACTCGTTGTACTGGTCGAAGTCCACAGGCAGCCCTGGAGGGGGGTGCGGAGGAGGAAGGATGGGGGGGGTGCGGAGGAGGAAGGATGGAGAGGAGCTGGGCCCAGCAGCCCATCTAGAGGCCACAAGCCGCCTCCTGCCAGGGAGCTTCCTCTTGCACCCGCCTTCCCGTCTCCCTCTGAGACAAGGGGACGCAGGTTCAGGCTGTCTGGGTGGAGTGGGGCCCCCTAGCACACACTAGTTATTCCTCATCTCTGAACACACCTGAACCCAGGACCCTGACCAATGAGGGAGCAGGCCTGGGACAGCCAGGCGGGAGTGTGACGCACGTAATCCTATCAAATGCAGCAGAAACCCCTGACAGGAACAGAACAGGAACGAGAGGAACAGCAGAAGGCAGAGAAGCCCCCGACAGTCACACCCATGCCCCCAACCTTACCACACACACACACACACACACACACACATGGTCTGCACCGGCCCTCTGGGCCTGGACACGTCCCATGACTACTCACCCATGTTGTACTTCTGCTGCACCTCTCGTACAATCTGGGTGTTGGCCGACCTCCGGAAAATGCCCTCAGTGGTGAGAGCTGGGAAACAGTGGGCCTGGTGAGTGTCAGAGCTCTGGGCAATGTGCAGACCCCCCATTCTCTGTCTTGGGGTTCCAGTCAGGGTCAGTGTGGGTGCTGATGCACGTGGGCCCTCTCTCAGCCCTGCCCAGCAACTTCCCCAGGGAGCTGGAAGGGGGCTGGGCCCTGGCACCCACCGTGAAGCCGCAGGTAGGCAATGGTCTCCCGCAGCACGAGTGGAATGGGCTCATGTTCTAGGTTCTTGTCGCGGAGGCTGTGGGAACAAGGGCAGTGAGACGGGTCTGCGGCCTTCCCGGTCCCCGGGCACCAGGCCTGCCCACCCTTCCATACTCACTGCTGCAACGAGACCCCAAATTGCTGGTTGGGCAGAGGCGGCCGTGGTGGCATGGGCTTGGGGGCTGTGGCAGGGCTCTTCTGTGTGGACTTGAGGAAGTCATCGTACCTGGGGGAGCAGACGGGAGGGTCAGGCCTTCTTCCCGGCTCTAGCGCCATGACAACCTCTGTTTACACAGGTTACTTCATTCCATCCTCATAGCAACCCTGCTTCACGCATGAGAAAGTGCAGACTTTTTTTTTTTGAGGAAGATTAGCCCTGAGCTAACATCTGCTGCCAATCCTCCTCTTTTTGCTGAGGAAGACTGGCCCTGAGCTAATATCCATGCCCATCTTCCTCTACTTTATATGTGGGATGCCTAACACAGCATGGCTTGCCAAGTGGTGCCATGTCTGTACCGGGGATCCGAACCTGTGAACCCCAGGCCGCCGAAGTGGAACGTGCGCACTTAACCGCTGCACCACTGGGCTGGCCCAAAAAAGTGCAAACTTTAAAGAGATGCAGTCACATAGCTTTTAAGGGACAGAAATGGGATTTGAACTTGCCCTCTCGGACCCCATATGCCTTCATATTCTTCTTGTACCTGCGGAGGCAGAAGGGGAACTCAGGAGTGGGTGTGGAAGGACAGGCACAGAGCTGCGTTCTGAATCATTACACTCGCTTCCTCTGTTTACCTTGGGGTTCTCAAGCCTTCCTCTCCCCTTGGCCGGCTCGTCCTGCCCCCCTCCCCCCATGACCTACGTGGACACGCATGCCTGGGGACGCCTACAGCCCCTGCCCCGGCCTCACTTGAGCACTTGGCGAGGGATGCCCAGCTGCTCCAGCTTCACGTGCTCGCTCAGCTCACTCAGGTAATTCACATAGAAGATCTTCTGCCCAAACTTGAAGCTGCCGAAGGAGGAAAGGGCATGGGTCAGGGGGCGGGCCTGCTTCGGCAGGCCTCCACTGTCCCCTCAGCAGCCCACCCAGAGCAGACAGAGGCCCAGCCCCAAAGTGGCCCATCGCCAGGATGCTAGGCCTCCTCAGGTTTCTGCTTCAGACTTCAAGGGCAAGCACGGGAGGCCACCGCCCCGCCCTCGGCCTGCTCACCTAATGATGGGCTTAAAGAGGATGAGCAGGGTCTTGATGAACATGGTGGGGTGCACGATGTACAGGGCCTTGATGTTCTTCTTGTACCTGCAGAGGCAGAACGGGAACTCAGGAGTGGGAGTGGCAGGACGGGCCCAGAGCTGGGCTCCGAATGGACCTCTTCTGATTGGACCACTGTTGCCCCATTTTACAGATTATGAAACAGGCCCAGAGAGGTGCAGCCATGCAGAAGGTCACAGAGCGAGTAAGTGCAGAAACTGGGATTTAAGCCCCAGCCACTCTGACTTCAGATTCTGAGTTTACCCAGGTGGGGCACCTGCTTCCCCCGGCGCGGAAGGAGCTCCTGCCAGGTGGAGGGCAGCCCAGAGCCTGGCGGAGCTGCTGGCTCCAGAGCCACCTGCCCCCAGGCCCCAACCCACTTGCGGTCGAACTCGCGGTAGGCGTCCCGGAGCCAGCTGAGCGAGGGCTTGTTGTCGCTGGTGAGGCCATGGTGCAGGTACAACAGCGTGTAGTCGCTCTCCACGTACTGGTCCAGCGTGTGCTTCAGGTACCTGCGAGAGAAAGGCCCTGCTCAGGCGCGCCTGGGGCCCCAGCAGCTCTGCCTCTCTCGCACCCTCCCCACGAGCCCCAGCCCTGCCCCAGCCCTGCCGTCTCTGGCCGCATCGCAGGTCGCTATGTTGTTGGGAGGAGGTACGGGGTAGTGGCAGGGCTGGGCGGAGGAATAACAATAATGA